GGAGCCACGCCCTTCGAGCCGCGTCCCGTCGGCACCGTCCCTGAGTGCGTCCCACCTTGGCGGCACACACTCTCGACGAGGACAGTCCTGCTGACGAGAACGTGTCGCGCGCCGGCGACGGTTGCGGCGGGGAGGTTTGTGTACGAAGCGACGATGGCACGACCGCCCTGCATCGAAGGCCGGGCAAGGGGTCGGCCCGCGCACGTTCCGCGAGGAACAGGAGGTCCCCCCCCCTCCCCCGGCCTGAGCAGCTACGGGTGGAAGGCAGCCCCTTGAGTCGAGGGCGGCGCGACCATTGCCCTGACTCAAAGACCAGCTAGCTGGCCCGTTCAGTTCAGATGGTCTCGCCGCCCCGCTCCGCGTCGCCCGCCCGCCGCGCCGCGCCGCCACCCGATGATTGTTAATTCATTATTAATTAATTAATAAGTAATTACCCCACCCGCCGCCGCGCCGCCCCGCCCTGCGTCGCCCGCTGCCTCGCCGCGCGCCGTCGCCTCGCGCGCCGCGCCGCCGCCCGATGATTAATAATTAATAATTAATACCCGATGATTAATAATGTGTGTGTTTGTGTGTGTGTGTGTTTGTTTGCCCGATGGCAGGGAAGGGCAGGGCAGCCGCGAGCGGCAAGTGGCGTCGGCGACGCGGCGAGGACACGATGGTGACGCCCACAGCGCAGCGTGCGCGGCAGCAGCGCCGCCGGCGGCCCCACGCCGCATCAGAGGCGCTCTGAGTGAGTCAGGCTGCGCTGCATAGCCTGCTGAGCACGCTCCCGACGAGCGGCGCGCCACGCGGGCCCGCCGCAGGCGACGCGGGCGGCGAGCCGATGCGTGCGCGTGTCGTAGGCGTAGGCAGCGCTGGCGAAGCGAGGCGGCCGGCGCCGGCCCCCAGAGGCGGTTGCAGCGAGAGAAGCAAGGCAAAAGATACTGTTGAAAGAGTGGGGAGCAGCCTGCCGTCGAGCAGCGCGCCGCGCAAGCCCGCTGCCGGCGACCCGATCGAGAGCTCGTATCATGGTACTATTCAACGCGCCATCGTGCCCGAGACGGCCCGCCCTGTCCCTGTAGGCCTTCCCAGAGAGCTTGGCGATGCTGTACAGAATGCCGAGAGCATACTGGGCAGGCTCCCGTCGAGCGACGAGCCATGCTGGCTCGTGGCGGGCGGCGAGCTCGAAGACCCGCCCGGAGCTTCGCCCAGCCCGGCGGGCCCGCCCGCACGCCCGCGGCCGCAGGCAAGGAAGGCAAGCTTCCCGGCGTCTATGCCAAGCGCTCACATGCCAAAAGACACCTCGCAGCGCGCGAGGCGTCACCGGAGCGGTACGCCTCGGCGCCGCGAGAGCAGCCGGTCTGCGTGGGCACCAAGCGGCCGCCGGGCGCCTCCGCACCGACGCGCGACGGGGGCGCCGCGGCAGCAGAGAGCCCTCCACCGCCATACCGTTTTTATGGCGGGTCCACCCTCTCGCCGGCGGTGTGATGTTGTGATCAAAGAGATAACCCCAAATGACGTGTGAGTGTTAGATTTGTTTGGTATTGTATTGCTAAAAAATCTCTTTCAAGAGAGATATTTCCCATTTCGTGCACAAACCAGCCAACCTCCGGCGTGGATTAGCAGGGTTTGGACGGTCGCGGCCGCTGCCGCTCTCCCCGCGGCGCGGCGATGGGGCGCACCGTTGGCTCGTGGCCCGTCCACCCTGAACGAGGCTCCTGTCCGCCCTCGGCCGGCCGATCCGATCGGCGGGGAGCCGCCTCTGCGGCCGACTCGCCGGCCCGACCCGCCGCTCCGGAGCGGCGGTGCGCGCCAGCACAAGTTCGCTCCGCGAGCGAGGCGGGGCGATCCGCGCGTCGATCTCAACTTCGCCCTCGACCTCGACGGCTTCCAAGAGCGCACTCTGAAGCTTGCCTACACTCTCTACGAGAGCTCGCGAAAGCGTCTGGAGATTTGCGCTCGACGACGGGCTACCGGCGTCGACCACAAGAACTTGCCGCTGCGGCCAGTCAAGGCACGACCGTGCGGCCCCACCGCCTGCAACTGCACGATCGACTACCGCCACTTGACGGCGCCCAACATGATGGGAATCGATGCGAGCATTGTGCGCGCCACGCCCCAGCCCGCCCCGCCCCCCGCCCCCCGCCCCCCGCGCCCGCCCCGCCCCGCCCCTTGGCCGCTCCGCCGCGCTACCACCGCCGACGCGACGCCGCCGCGCTGCCACCGCCTCCGTACCGCGCGCCGCCTCGCTCGCGCCGCCACTCCCAGCACCTCGTCACCGCCACCCGCCCCGACACGCCGCCTGCACGCCGCCAGCACTGCGCCGCGACGCGACGCGGCGCCGGTGCGCCGCGTGCACGCCGTCGCAGCGCGCGCCACCGCAGCGGCGACACGCGCTCCCACCGCGTCCCTGGCCGCATCGAAGGCTGATCCCCTCGCTCCCTTGCCGCGCAGGCGGTCCGATGGATGAAGAACCACCGCGCGAGACTCAAGCGCGCGCGCCAGGCACGGGAGCGCCAGGCGCTTGCGCCCCCGGTGGCGCCCCCAGCGCGCTGACGCTGCTGCCACAGCGCACTGAACTTGCTGCTCGCTCTCTTGTGTACCGTGACTGCTTTGTGCGCTGTTGATAGAGTGTGTGCGCGTTTCTGCATCGCCACACATGAATACTCCCATGATCCTATTGTGTCTTTGCTGTGAGGAAACGGCCCCGCACCCGTTTTTCGCGTCTCGCCGCCAGAATCGGCCTGCCGGCCTCCTTTTCGGCTCTTTCTGCTACCGAATATATAGCGACAGCGACGTGTGGGTGTGGGTGCAGCGCGGCTGTGCCAGGAGCAGGACCGGGGCTGGAGGGCGCTCGGGAGCATCCGGTGTCGTCAGCCGCTTCGGCAGGGTCGGCCACGGCTTTTCAGTTTATGCGCTGGTCCGCACGTCATACCCGTGTCGGTGATACCCTGCTTTGCTCGGCGCTCGGCGGTTCGGCGCCCCGCGCCCGGTGGCACTGGAGAGAGGAGCGGCGGTTGTCGAGCGCCTGCTGTGAAGGTGGCGGTGTGCTGCAGAGCGGGGTGGCGCGGGGCCAGAAGGCGGCAGGAGACAGGAAGGTATAGAGATTTGACGCGAGACGGCGACCGTCTTCGCGCCGCGACGGGCGACGGATGATGTCACGGAGTAGCGTCTCGCCGTGACGCAGCGGCGCCGCATCGTCAGACCCGAGGCGCGCCCTGTCGAAGCGCGCGTCGGCAGGTCCACCATCATCGAGCCAGGGTGCCACCAGGTGGAGGTGGTCAGCGGCGACCGCGGCCGCGATCGCGACGGGAATCACGAGGCCGGAACCCGCCGGCTCTGCAGAGACAGCCACCTCCCCCAGCTCGCCCGACGAGGTGCCTATGCCGCTGCTGTCGGCTGTGCTGCTGCGGCCCGCCGGGCCGGTCGGCACCGTCGGCACCGTCAGCGTGTCCCGGCTCTGCTCCAGGAGTTGCAAGCACGCCGCCCACTCCTTGCCCCTCTTGCGGTGACACAGCTGCTCAGCCGTGTCACACCGACGCACTCTGCTGTATTGATCACGATCGCAACCACGCGGCCGTCATGCAACGCGCACTGGCTTGGGCAGCAGAAGGAGGCGCCGTGCAGATCAAACTGCCAGAGGAGGGCCTCCTTGTGCTCGACCACCAGCGCAGGAGAGGTCAGTGTTTTCGTCGTCCGCCGACGATCGCTCTGCAGCCTCGCTCATCTCTAGTGCGGCACAAAGGCGACGATTGACGCCGATCACGGAGGAGGCGACGGCGAAGCACAAGCAGGCGGGCTCTCTATGCGAGCTTGTCTCGACTTGTCGCGGCGCCGGCTTTGTCTTTTCTTTTTACCGGTTGTCCGAGATATTCCCAAAACACATTAACACAACAAAGCTCGATACTCGTAGACACGGAGAGAGAGAGAGATGGTCATATTGGAGTGACACAGACTAGACACTCTTCACTCAGCCAACTCGGCTGCCACACGATTCAATGCTCTGCAACTGAGACTCACCCGAGACCTGCAGGCTGCTCGTCAGCACTGCTGCACCAGTGGACACACAGGCAAGCTCACACGCGTGTCTGCTAGGTCGGCGGAGCTTGGTTGATGGGGGCGGCACCGCCCTGCGGAGAGCGGAGAGGGCGGCGCTCGCCTCTCCGGAGTGAGCAGGCGGCAGAGCGGGCGTCAGACACGTGAGCGAGCAGAGTCGGGCGATCGACGCGTGTGCCTGGATCTTTCGCGAGCAGACGGTCGTCGGCGCCGGGAAGACGGGAGAGAACCAAGCGTCCGGCGTGCGAGCGCGGGCTGCGGAGGGCCGGGGCGCGTGTGCCAAGGACGCGCTGCCCGCGCGACAAATCACCGGTCGCAGCGCAGCCTTGCCCGCCACGCCGTGCCGGCAGACACGCGCGCGGGAGGTGCGGAGCGGGCTCGCGGTGAGTCGAGGTGGCCGAGACGCAGGACCGCCCGTGCGGCGAGGCTCCAGCAAGCGACTGTGCGGGGGGCGAACGGCGTGCGGGTGGGCGGTGGGCCGCGAGAGAGTCACGCAGCGGCGCAGGTGGGGCCGCAGGCTTACCGCAGGCTACGAGGAATCGGGCCGTCGAAGGCAGATACGAGGCGCAGCGAGTGCGAATACAGGAATAACCCGCACGCAACGTGCCGAACCGACCCGCGTGCACGATCGGAGCACCTCTGACGCGGCGCGAGAAGCGCTGAGTTGAGGTGCCGCGGCCCGCGGCTGCAGCGTGTCGAAACGGCGCTTTCGGAGGCGCCGCGGTGGTCGCCGAGCGCGCGGAATCGACGAGAAAATATGACGGCGTGCCGGCCGTGGGCCCGGACGACGGCGCTGGCGAGCCGGACCGAGGCCGCGGCATCACGGTGGCGAGCAGGAGGGGCTTAGGCTGTTTTCACGTGGAAGCGTAGGTGAGCCGAGAACGCAATTCTGGGTAAGGTTTGCTGGGGTGGCCCCCTCGGCCAGCTGAAGCTCTCGACTCGTCCACCTTGCTCTGGACTATGCCGACCTCAAACCACCCAGCGCCAGCAACGACGTGCCACGGCTCGCCACGCATCTGTTGCGACCGACGACGTGCCCGACGCCGTCCCGCGGCCGCCAGGAAGAGGCCCGCGCAACCACTTCTGGGACCCGCGGCCGCCGGGCGTGTGGCGGCACAACGAGTCGAACGAACCGAACCAGCGCAGAGCGGCGCGTCTCACGAGCGCCCGCGGCCGCCACGCCGCCGCCGTCCGCGGCCGACGGTGGTCGCGAATCAACGCGGCGCGGTGCACCGCTGCGCCTGTCCTTCCGCGCCGCTGGACGTCGGCCGAGAAGACCGCTTCCCTCTGGGGACCCGACTCCGCGAAGATCGCGCGCGCGTCGTGAGTGGCGGCGCGCGCGCGATCTCTGTTCCCGGGCACGCCGGTCGCAGTGACATGGGCTCCCAGGCTCAAAAGCGCTCAACAGCGAGCTGCTCCTCCTCCTGCCGCCGCTCCGCTCACCGAGACAACTCGGTGCCGCCGTTCTCGCCGCCGCCGCCGCCGCCGCCGCCTCGCGCCTTGCCTCCGTCACCGCCGCCCTCCATCTCGCAGCGGCGCGTCCCTCTGATGGCGCGGGCTCCTCGCTCGTTGGCGCCTCGCCGCCGCCCCCCCTCTCGCCGCCGCTCCGCTCGTGGCCGCCCCATCCCCTGTCAATCCCGCCGCCTCCCCTGTCAATCCCCCCCACCGCCGCCACCGCCTCGCGCGTTTAGCGGGCCTTTAAGCTTAGGAATCCTAAATAGAGGACAGCCTATAAAGTGTGAGTCACACACACACACACACACAGCCTATAAAGAAAAGAAACGCAATGTCGAAGGTGCCACCTTATCAACCACAAAAATAGGCCCGCGCGTGCTGCGCGGGCCCGGCGAGCGACTTGAAGTCGCAGCACTGGCAAGTGCAACCCGCAGGCAACGCGCCTCTGTCGGAGAGCGACCGTGCCTCGTTCCGCTTATGATGTAGAGTTTGTTGTAGAGATTTCACGTTGTAGAGCGCCTCTATACATCGCTCTACAACGGGCGTGCGCGGCCCCGCCAAGGCCTACTACATCTCCCTCCTCAAATGCTGGTCAAAGCTTGTGGCCTGCAGCCCGGACCTCGCCGAAGCCGAGCGCTCCGGCGGGGACGGTGCACGAGACGCCGCCGTCAACGCGTACAGAGCCGCGCTCTCCAGGCGGGACGAGGCGGCCTCCATCCGTGCTGCACGCGACGACAACATCTACTTACTACTACACCGTGCGCGGCGGCAAACTCTCTGAGTTCTACCCCAAGGGCGTTAGCCTCCCCACTTCTGAGTCCCTTCCAACACCGGAATCAGTCATCGATGGCACTTGCAAATCAGGAAGCCCGCACGCGCGGGCGCTTGCTGCCATCGAGACTATCTGCAACTGGTTTGACCCGCAGCAGTTCCTGCAGAAGGAGTGGCGCGCCCTCGACGACTACACGGCAGCCAACTGGCAGCCCGGCGACACCAAAATACGTCTACGCGAGTCCATCTGCTACGTATCAACTGCGCAGCCTTACGCGGGGCGGTGGCTCGACACAAAACTTGACGGCAGCAATGCCACATGCATTCCAGACGACATATTCATCGGCGAGCTTCAACGCCGAAACGGCCTTCACCTCTCGCAGTGCCGCTCGACCGTCACGCGGGCACTCGAGCTTGGGGACACAGACGGTGGTGCAAAGGACTACCATGGCGACTGGTTCCTCAACAACGCCGCCCGCCGACGCCCACACGACGGCGTACTTCGCGCCTGGTACGATTGTGTCCACGCCGTCTCCGTCTCCCGGCCCGTTATGGGAGTGTGGTGGGGATCGGAGTGGTCTGACCGTGTGGAATGGCTCTGGTCCGAGGCCCTCTGTAGTATCGTGAGGCGTCCCTCTTCTCTCGCTCGAGAGATGGTCATCGCTGGCTCGTGGCGGGCGGCGAGCTCGAAGACCCGCCCGGAGCTTCGCCCAGCCCGGCGGGCCCGCCCGCCCGCACGCCCGCGGCCGCAGGCAAGGAAGGCAAGCTTCCCGGCGTCTATGCCAAGCGCTCACATGCCAAAAGACACCTCGCAGCGCGCGAGGCGTCACCGGAGCGGTACGCCTCGGCGCCGCGAGAGCAGCCGGTCTGCGTGGGCACCAAGCGGCCGCCGGGCGCCTCCGCACCGACGCGCGACGGGGGCGCCGCGGCAGCAGAGAGCCCTCCACCGCCATACCGTTTTTATGGCGGGTCCACTCTCTCGCCGGCGGTGTGATGTTGTGATTCAAAAAAAATAGGACCGCTCGCAGAGGACCATTGGGTTTGTACTATTTACTACGAAGGCGCTCTCAAAAAAATAACGGGCCGACTTGCAACCCAGCAGAACGCCCCTCGCGACCTACTTGAAGTCGCAGCTCCGACTCGGCAGCTTCTCAACACAACAGCCGAGCTCCTGCGTTCCATGAGCCAGCCGTCGCGGCCGGCGCCCGCCCAGCCGCGCGCCTCGTGCGCCTGCACCGCCTGCCGCCTGAGCAAGGTGCGCTGCGACCGCAGCGCAACCAACCAGCGCTGCAGCCGGTGCACCCGCCTCGGGCTGGTGTGCCAGCTGGCGGGCATCAGCAAACGCGGGTCGAAGAACGTGCAGCGCGACATCGCGCGCCTCGGTCCCGCCGTGCGCAGCCTGCTGCAGTCGGAGAATCCCCAGGCGCCAAGCGGCGGTGTGGCGGCGTCGCTCCAAAAGGACTCGTATGGCTATGACGACACGCCAATGCAGTGGAAGGGGCCGCGCTGCCCGTCGATGATCATGGCGCACATCGAGGGCGCCGCCGGCCGCATGGCGCTGCTCAAGCACTGGCTCTTCATCGCGCTCCGCTCCCGCTCCTGCGCGACGGTCCGCGCGCGTGCACCCGCGCGACTGCACCCGCACCCCCGCCCGCCGCGGCCTCTGCCTCCCCGCCGCCGCGCCGCGCGCCCGCCGTGGCGCGGCGACCTCCCTGCGTGGCCCTCCTCCCAAGAGAGACGCCCGCCGCCCGCCGCTGCCGCCCTCCGCCGCCGCCGCCCGCCGCCGCCCTCTCCACCCGCCCCGCCCGCTCCCGCGCAGGTCGGCAACGTGATGCTGCTCGCGCACACGGGCGGGCTCACGCTCGACAACATCCTCGAGCTGGTCCACACCTTCGACGCGGGCGAGGCGGTCGTCCACTGCCCCACGCCCCCCTTCATCGCCGAGTGGGAGGCTGGCAACGCCGCAGTCTTTATCCGAGCGCAGGCGGCCGGCTCGCGCAGCCCCGCAAAGCCCCTCCGCCGCCCCGTCCGCCCAACACCGGTCGCAACCGCCGCCCACCGCCCCGCTCGCGCCCCCCTTCTCCTGCTCGCTCCGCCCCCCTTCCCGCTCGGTCCGTCCCAGACCC